AGATTTGGGGTTGAATCCCTGGAATATTTAGAGCGCGAATGTAAAAAATAAATAAATGCTTTATCCCTTTGATGCGCACTAGAGGGCAGCAGCATCCTCCAGTGGGGGGGGGGAAGGAAGGGGTTTAGAGGGTGGATCTGCACAGTCCAGCCAGCCTCCCCTGGCGTCTAAGCTCCTTGACTGCTGGAAAGTAAAGGGCAGAAATGTCCCAGCTTGCTCGGGTAAGGGCAGAACAGGTCCCGGAGGGGGAGGGGAGGAAGCTGCCTGTCCACAGAGGAGCTGTGCTTGTGCTGTTAAACGACTTCACTCGGATCATGATTTGTTGACTGACCCTGTAAAACATTAAAAGCAATCAAAGGGCAAGCACGAAGGACGATCCAGAGGAAGAGCCAAACGGGCCGCAGCCCCACTGAACTCGATGAGACCTAAATATGCTGTTGTACCACTGGCTGATTTTAGTGGGCTTGGGGGGGGGGGGGGAGGGGGGGGGGGGGGGTTCCCTGCCTGCCGCCTGTAACATTTCCCCCCCCCCTACTTTTCAGAGGTTCTCTAATGTTATCCCCGATGTGCTACCCCCACCTTTAAACAGTGGCATCAACCATAGCAACAGCAATTACATTAACAAGGAGGAGGAGATTGGATTCGTACCCCGCCCTTCACTTGGAGACTCAGAGCGGCTTACAAACTCCTTTCCCTCCCCCTCCCCACCACAGACACCCTGTGAGGTGGGTGGGGCTGAGAGAGCTCTGAGAGGACTGCTCTTTCAAGGACAGCTCTGACAGAACTATGGCTTGCCCAAGGTCATCCAGCAGCTGCAAGTGGAGGAGTGGGGAATCAAACCTGGTTCTCCCAGATTAGAGTCCACGCACTTAATCACTACACCAAACTGGCTCTCACTACACTACACCAACAAGAAAAATAATACATTTGCACGTTCTGTGGGGGTTTTTTTGTTCAAAAAGCCCTCCTTGCTCTTTGACTGTCCCACGCAACCAAACTGAGGAAGCTCACTGGCTTGGAAGGTTACTGTGAACGTCACACGTGAATGCTGACAAACCTCAGGCAAGCATCGCAAACATCCAGAAATGCAGAGGTGGTGATGGTGGAATCTGACAGTCACCTAAATGCGGCTGTCAACATTTACCGGTGTACGCTCCAAAGTGGGGGAAACACACTTTCTCACACTAATTGTGTCAATCTGAGCTTGTCAGCATCTACCCACAACTGCCAACATTCACTAAGCCTTTTGGTAGTCAGCGTAGCATAGATCCAGCATAGATCCAGATACAAAAGAGCAGGATGTCCTCTGTTTTGGTTGATTGCCGAACTGCTCTCAGGTGCACCAGGCAGGGAAGAAAAGCCACATCTGACTGCAGCCCTGCCCAAGGCAAGGGAAGAAAGGAAAAGAGCCCTCTAATCAGTCATTTTCAGGCTGATACAGGCACCTCCCTTTCCCCAGCAACCACCCCATGCAGGCCCACCCTGCCTCCTCTCCTTAGCCAGTAGCCAGCGTGAAATGCGCCTTCTGGCTGCAGCCGCATCTGAATGAGCGCTGCCACCCCAGTGACAGTCGCTGTCCGCCAGGGTAGAACACAACAGGTTTTTCTGGTAGGGCAGGTCCACTGTTAAAGGCTATCTAAAGCACAACGCAGCAAGGGTTTACGGTGTTTACCGACCAGGCTTTAACAACCCATTCACAAAACTGGAGGCAGCTGGAGGGTAAGGTAGGCTGCTCTGCCAGCTTCCTGAGAGCAAAATCACTCACGGTCAACCTGCACGAGAGCAGCTTGCTGGCGTGCCTGAGAAGAGCTGGGGTGTGTGTGTGTGCAGAGGACAGGAATGTCACTTAAGAGACCAGCTGGCTCCCCTCTCGAGGACTAGGCGGGATCTGAAGTGTGGACAGTGGACGGGGACATTGTGGCCTTCTCCCTTGATCTGCTAGCTGTCCAGCTTTGTAGGTGAAGGAAGCTCCTGTCCAAGTCCTAGCCGACGACACATCTCACACAAATGATGCTTCTCGGGAACACTGGAGCACAGCTTGCAGCTTCTGCTTGCCCAGGGGCCTGTGAGTTTCACTCCGGAAGCCTCCAGGGATCCCACAGCTCCCCTGAGCAACTTTTCCTCATTGCTGAATGGCTGGACGAGGTGGGAAAGTTCCCAGCCTTCAGGGCCCTTTCAGCAGATTATGCTGTACAAGCAGCAGTTTCAGCTGGCATGCATAGTTATTCCCTCCCACCCCACCCGTCGCTTGTGTCACGAGCAGTATTTTCAAATAGCACTTGTCATGCATTAATGTGCCATTGCAGAGGCCCACAGGTGGAGAAGCAGATCTTTGATGGCTGGAGCATCACAATATTCCCCTACGAGTTGAGCCTCACATGTTAGTGTGCTCAAGAACGGGAGCCACTTTCCGTCCCACGGCTTTCAGCCGGGCCTTCTTCAGTGTACCCTGGATGCTTTTTGAGGGATGGCTCCACCTGTGGGCATTCGGACCAACTCATGCAATGCCACCACGATTGCCTGGATCAGGCCCAACACTGCTGCTTTCAGAGCCGGGGCAGCACTGGATTCTGCTGCTGTACACTGTCAGTTGATGGTGCGGCTGAGCTGAAAACTGCTCAGTGGGCTAAAAACACTAAGGGGATGACATCACTTGGCACTGTTGTCATGTCCCTGCAAGCTTAAACAAATTGAGATGGCAGGTAGACAGACGTTCCTGAAGAATAATGTGTAAAAGTGTGTATGTGGGGGGGAGCAGCTAAGACTTTCTAGAAGATGAGATTCATAAAATGTAAGGGTTTGACACCTTTGGCCTTTACAGTGGTTCACTTTGCTTTATGGACAATGAAGTAGTTTTGCCTGCAGCCTATTCTACCTTCTTCAGCTACAGACCACCACCTTAGGTTATAGCTAATTACCTGGAATTACTGCTGAGTGAATAGTTTTGCTGGGGCTTCCAACAGTTTTATCAGCACCAGTCTAGACGTAAGCAGATTTGTCCAAAAGATTCTCTTTCTTGTAGCTCAGAGGAAGATTTATTTCTCTTCTTGCCAGGCAGCAATGTTGAGATTTTAAGAAAAAGTAACTTATTTTTTTAAAATCTCAAGTTCTGTTTTTATTGGCATTAACTTTTGCTGTCTGTCTCTCACTTGCGCCTCTTTCCTGGATGCTAAGTTGGACTGTAAATGCTCTTATTTGCTCATGCGCATATTACATCTCTAAACACTGGGAGCAGATATAGCAAATCTACGGCAGACTGCAATGGTTAGATGACAAGCTGAATTGTTTGGTTCCAGGTGCTCCCTCTGGTATAAGATGAACTCAAAGATATTACGGATTTCATTTGCGTTCTGCACCTCATGCTTCTGTTTTACAGATATTTTGATAAGGCATAAATAGCAGGTTATCTGCATCAAGAGAATTCTACTGACATGGTTCTAATTGGGCATAGACCCAATGCGGTGTCCAAGGATTAGGAGAGCTCCCAGAAGCCGTCAAGTTCTAGAGATGTTTGATCTCGGTCCGCTTTGTTTTCTGCTCTCTCCACTTGTAGTCCAGCCAGATGCACACCCTGTCCTATTCCTCCTACCCACCACCCTCTCCTGGGATCAGCCAAGAGAAGAAAAAAGCCATCAGGACACAACTCCTGAGTGAAAAGTAATTTTTTTGGCCTGAGATTTTTTCCCTTCCAAACAGAACGTTATTCATGCCCTCTCCCTATGCATACGAGAACACAATTAAAGCTCTTCTGTTCTAATGGTGTTTGGATAGACTGGAATTGATTTGCTAGTTACTGAAATGCCATTGGGTGTGTTTCTTGTGCAGTGCTAAATAAAAGGGCCAGCTAAGAAGCCATTCCTGGGCAACGGCAGGGATAATGCACTAGGGCCAACTGGAAAAACCAACAATTCAGTCCCCAAGGTGGTATGCTGCCCAACAGGACTGGCTGCTCTCTTTGGCAGAACTGTGCGGTTAGAGAAAGGGAAGTAGTTCTGTGTTATCCAGCAATCCCAGGATCTTGCACACGGTGAGCTAGGTTATTTTCCTCATCTCGTGAAGACATTAACAAATATTGATAAACTGGGAAGATGGGCTGGGAAAATGAAAAGTCCAAACAGCTCAGTACCTCTTTATCCTGCTGATCGACTGCTTATCAGAGGCCCAACTGAATAGGATGCAGGTGAGGCAGAAGAACTTACCCATTTGCCTTTGTGCATGTGCCCTGTTTATAACGGGTCACGGTGCATGGACTAAGAGGGCAAGCTTAGGTCTGGCGGGTGTTAGGCTGGCACACTATGGATCTCTGGCCTGCTAACACTACACAAAGTGTCTGAGGGCCCACTTTAAGAGGTTGTGTGTGTGTGTGCATGTGTGCACATATCCACCCAAAGTCAGATGGAAAAGTTCTCTCCTATATGCATCACATTTACAATCAGAGTTCAGTTTCAGTAGCCAGGTCTAGACTCCAAATTGCTCCTAGTAAGAGCTGAAGCATAACTGAACCAAGAGCCTGCAATTCTCACAAATGACTTTAAGTCAAGCCCTGCCCATACCAAGCCCTGCCCAAACCAATATGAAACAGAAGTGTCCTCCTGCTTTCATAACCATTGGCAAAAAAAAAGCTTATTGATGTGATTGCAGGCACTCTTAGGAGGAAGAAAGTCCTACTGAACTCTGCGGGACTTGTTTCCCACACAATACATTCCAGATAAATAGTGTATTTAGTGTGCATTATAGTCACTTTTCCAGCCCAAAGATGTTCAAAGTGATGTACAGAGGGGGGGAAAACACTCAAAACACTCCTAAGATCAGGTTGTATAGATTTCTGCTTCTTCCCGTTCTAGATATTGGAATGGAAAGCCTGTCTCCCCCCCCCCCCCCCCCCCCCGCCATGAGTTCCATCACAGCCTCTATGAAGAGGTGCTGGAATTCACAGACTGTTAAATAAGCAGAAACAGGAAGCTGCTACAGCTGAACAGAAAGCAAACCTTCTCTTGGCGGTCAAGTCTTACATTTATTGAAGTTCTGCTGCATCATGCCTTCTGTGATCAGCACTGTTTTGCAAGGTAGGCAAAGCACTCTATACAACCAAGCAGCCCTTTTTCCTCATCTTGTTTCCAGAGGTTCAGGCGTGATTTCAGAAGAGGACTGCTGAAACCTACAAGCAGAAGTATACTCCAGTGTTGCTGAATCCACAGCAATGGATTGCACAGGCATATAAGAAAAGTAGGAGTTGCAGGGAACCTTTCTGGCCATGGAAAATTTAACAAATGGCCGAAGCTATAACTGCCCACCTCAGAGAGGACATCTAAGTTCCGTGCAGCTTGGCTTTATTCTGACAGGCAACAGAGTGAGGCGGTGTAGAAATGTAAAGGCAAAGACATTCTCTGCAGGGCAATTCCTAGCTCAACCTTCTTTGTCAGGCACGGGGGCGTGGGGGCCAATGGGCAAGTCACTTCTGAGAGAGCTTGGCAATGAGGTCCTTCCATTCTTTCCTCTTCTGTGTTATGTAGGAGGGAGTCAGGAGCTGCAGGATTGGCTCCTGCTGCGCCTGAAAGTATGCTCGGCACAGAGCCTCCGCGTTGCAGATGACATACATCCCGCAGTCATAGCTGTTCTGCTGGGCGGGGGCCTTCTCCTCGACAAAGGAGGCCTTGCTTCTCTTGCCCAGGAAGGCTTCCAGCTTCCCGGCAACCTGTCGGGCGTGGATGGAATTGCTCCTCGTGTGGGAATCGTAGTGAGCAAAGCGGTTCTTGTCCCGGAAGTAAACCAGGAGGCTCCAGTGGGTGCCCCCCGCGGCCTGACTGGAGTTGTCGTTGATGGCCAGGAACACGGCTTTCTTCTGGGGGAGGTTCAGGGGCTCCAGGAACAGGCCCATTTCCTCCTGGCTGGTGGCGCATTTGATGAATTGGGCCACCTCGGGCCCGACGAAGCACACTTGGGTGGAGAAGTCTCGGAACTGCTCGCTGGCGAAGTACTCGAAGGCAAACCCAATGATGTGGTCGTTCAGCCAGCAGGGAGGATCCAGTAACAAAATGTCCGATTGTCTCAGCAAACTGTCCACGTAACTGAGGACAACAGGGTCCATTCTACGCAGGCGGAGTCACACGAGCTAGGGAGATGCCGATGCCTAAAGTAATCAACAGGGGGAAAAGGGCAGATGATGGTTAGAACAGGTCACATTCTTTTCCACTGTGGCCAACACAGGGAACGAAGCCAACGGATTTAAATGTTTCAGAGGGTAGCCATGTTGGTCTGCAAGAGAAGAGCCAGATTCCAGTCCAGGAGCACCTTAGAAGCCAACAGGATTTTTTTTGCAGTGTGAGCTTCTAAGAGTCAGAGTTCATACCCTCAAAATCTTGTTGGTATCTAAAGTGTTACTACACTCGAATCTAGACGGCTTATTAAAAAAGGAGAACCAGTTTGTTTAAACAGAACCAGTGACCATCTCTGTAAGAGGGGCTGGTGTTATGGACAGGACTAGGATTACAACTAAGGCTCCATAAAGTGTGTTTATCTATGGCAGCACAATAAACAGATGCCAAAGGTTACAACCAATGTACAGGGTTGGTAGATCTCCTCAAAGTTTATGCCAGCACAAGGCAAAGATGGTCTAAGGGGGCCAGTACCTGAAACACCATCTGTTCTCTTCCTCCAGCTAAAGAGAAAAGTAGATCAAATTCTTGATGGGAATGCCTGCATCACACCCCAAATGAAGTCTGGGCATGAAGGAGGCTGCTCAAGAATCTGCTGGCCTCTTTAATAATCAAGGCTATTTTTAAAAGCTGAGCTGACGGATAACAAAGGTGTTACAGAAATGTACCCCCAGCAAGTGGTGACTTATGATGATTCTTTTCTGAGCAGTTCTAAAGAAATGCCTGTCTTTCTTCCAGGAAAACCCACGGCAGAAGGAGGGGAAGAATTCCACAGCCGCCTTCTCTTTCATTCAATAGGCTTTTTTCAGAGCTTGCCTCCAGGGTGGAACTAGGCTTTATGCTGGAGGCAAGACTGCTGCTGAACACGGCAGTCCTATTTGGAGTCATCGGCAATGTCCAGGCATTCTCACACACATCCTTTCTCCTTGTTTTTCTGCCCCTACTAGGCCAGGGAAACAGACAAGACACCCCAATGTGCAAATGTACATCTACAGAAAATAGGGGGAGAATTTTTCAGGGAGGGGCTGCAGTTCTTAGCAGAACCCCCATATCCTTTGTCATTTCCAGTCTTACCCCCAAGAACGGCATCCGATCTACCCACCCCTTCTCTCTAAACTGCGCTGTGATAAACTACAATGGATTCTGGAGTGTTCCTTTTATGAGGACTGCGAGTATGTTAAACTGAACACAGAAGGTGTGCAACTGACAGTCACTCTACAGGCTGCCTGAGTGTATGACAGCCCAAGCATCTATTGTCAATTACATTGAAAAGCACTGTTTTATAACCATCTACAGTTATCCAGAAGGTAAGTGTGCAGCACCCACTCTGCAGGTGAGTTGCTCTGGAATCTGTATGTGTGTGTATAAAGTGGTATCAAGTTGCGCAGATCTAGAGCCTTCCAAAGACAAATTGCTGCCTTATCCCATGCAGAAGCAAGTTCATTCTGCACAGAACTGTGGCCCTGAAGTTATGTGGGGCCAAGTGTCCTGCAAATATATTGGCCAAGACTGGGTCTCCAAAGGGCAGCAAAAGGACAAGACAGTCAACATTCTCACTCATGTTAGACTCTGCAGCATTTTTTTTTAAAAAAAACCTCACATGTGCTGGTTTATTTACTCATAAGGAAGGAGTGGCCCTAAATTCATATCTGACCAACCACAGCACGAAGCAAGCTCAAGCACTATCCCCCAGCTCAGGTATATACTGGCAAGTAGTGTCAAGCTTGTCAAAGATGAAGCAACGCTGTGGTAAAGTATGATAAAGGGAACTAAAATGACATATGTGAAACGTACAGCGGCAGAAGGAAGTTCTGCGGTGAAGACAGGCCTTTCTCCCCTCTTCTGCATTCAGGATTTCCTTTATAAGTCAACATGCAATATCTTACAATCCGAAACACATGGGACTGATCATCCCTACAAAGAAGAAACCACCACAGTCATTAAAATGGAAGGAGAGCAGCTATGATTACCTCAGTTGTTTTGTTATCTGAGCATAAGCTGCTTTACAGTCAACCAACTGCTAATCATACTTGGATTGATTAAGAGGGAAACCAGGGCTGGTTCTGATGTTTTCAAGCCGCAGGAGGGCTCCATTGTAAGCAATTCTTATTGCTGCATGTACTTTAACTAGCACTTTTTTATCTTGTCTCCCCCCTCCCCACCCAGAGTTCAAGGCAGTAGACATAACCTGTCTGGTGCTTTATCCCTGGGAGAGAAGGTGGCATGATATAGTCTTATCTCAGAAGCTAAGCAGGGTCAGTATCGGAAGGGAGACCACCAAGGATGTCTCTGTGGAGGAAGGCAACGGTAAACCACCTCTGCTTTCAATTGCCTTGAAAGCCCCTTGTTGGGATGAGCATCAGTTGGATGCAACTTTCCGGCACTTATATACGTATTCTACCCTCACAGCAATCCTGTGAGGCGGGGTAAACAGGGAATGTGGCTGGCCCAAGGTCACCCAGTGCGCTTCACAGGTGAGTCGGGATTTGAATCTCAGTCCCCCTGCTTTTGCCAGTACACCATCCTGACCCAAATTTGTGCATGGGTGGGTGTCAGGCGCTCGGTGCATCTTTCAGTTTACAGCGCACCTGTCATTGAGAGAGGAGGCTCCCCCCCCTTCCTTTGATGTGTCTGAGACTTGTCACCTTTGCGATGCCAAATGGCTGGGCATCTCAAATGTCTGTGATCTTACTTCTTTGATACGGTAAGGCTACGTGCCTTGGGGGTAACTGACTTCTGGCGGACAAAATACTAGAGGATGATTGGGTCTTGATCTTTAGTGCTGTTACGTGAATCCCCTATATCTATACCCTTCCTGTGTTTAGCTTGGTTAGCTTCAGTCCAAACTATGATAAGTTCTATCAACTTTCTCAATAAAGTTAGCTTTCTACAACTGGCTGTCGTTGAGAACTGACGTTGAGAACTGAACCGGGAACCTGACAATTTGTTTGGACTCCTTCCTCAACCTCCTGCACCACTAATGTGATGAGCGGAGAGGACGGGGAAATCCCTACAACTGGGGCAGACAGCATCACGCTGGAGCAACACACCACGGCGGCTCCCGTGACGACTGCGGAGCTCAAAGGGGCTGAAAGAGGGGTGCAGCCCCAGGACTCGTGGGCGCCTCTCCCATCCTGGGCTGAGCCCACCTGGCTGTTGATTCCGGACCCAAGGTCCGAGAGGTTTGTGAGTGACAGCACCTGATGGCAGTACAGGCGCTGGTTCCAGGAGGAACCAGAGCGCATCCGGGCTGTGGAAGACACTGAAGCTGAACGACTCCGTAGAGAGTTCAGGGGTGAGGCGGAAGAAATAAGGTGAGAGATGCAGAACATGATGCTAGACATACCGGGCATCATCATGGAGGCGATCCAGCAAGAGTTCCGGAACCGCAAATGGGTCCCTGATGGAACTAGGAGGGTGCCACCAGGAACCTCACAAGTGCCTGCTTCCTCCCCCAGCACCTCCGGGTGCCCCTGCTGGGCCGAACGGACCGCCTGTACCCCGGCAGATCCAGAGCAGCCCCGTGATGCCCTGGAAGCAACATTTGCCAGCATGCCAGAGAAGTTAGTATTCTTCCTGCTGCAGGTGCGGAAGTTCTTACGCGATTGGGTCCTCAAATGTCTGTGATCTTACTTCTTTGATATGTAAGGCTACGTGCCTTTAGGAGAAGGCGGGGGACTGATGCTTCTGGTGGGCAAAATACTAGAGGATGATTGGGTCTTGATCTTTAGTGCTGTTACTTGAATCCCCTATATCTATACCCTTCCCGCGTTTAGCTTCAGTCCAAACAATAGATGTGTCTATGATAAGTTCTATCAACTGTCTCAATAAAGTTAGCTTTCTACAACTGGCTGTCGTTGAGAACTGATTGAACCGGGAACCTGACAGTGGGTTATATTTGTAATGAGGCAATTTTGGAATTCTGAACTATTGTGATATATGGGATTTTCTATGAGAATGCTGAACAGACAAAACTTTTATGCAAAGAGTGAGTATATCCCCCCACTGCATATGACATTGGGTACCACTCTCTACCCAAGCCTCACCTTTTCTATCCTCAGGCTCAATTCATTAGCCAGCAGTGGGAGAAAACTAGCCAACTATACCGCTATCTGCTTGTATCAAAATAATACAATTTTCTGAATGGTAACAGAAAATGAGGCACAAGGGTACAAGTTTGAAGCCTTTAGCACTAGCCCCAGATGGGAGCTGCTCGGGGCTACTCAAGGGGGAAGGAAAGCTATCCTCACTCGCCTCAAAGGCATGATCTTTACTGACATGATAAGCTCCAGAACTGGGCCTTGCTATTGAAGAAGAAGATATTGGATTTATACCCCATCCTTCACTTGGAGTCTCAGAGCGGCTTACTAACTCCTTTTCCTTCCCCTCCCCACAACAAACACCCTGTGAGGTAGGTGGGGCTGAGAGAGCTCTTTCGAGAACTGCTCTTGAGAGAACAGCTCTGACAGAACTATGGTTTGCCCGAGGTCATCCAGCAGCTGCAAGTGGAGGAGTGGGGAATCAAACCCGGTTCTCCCAGATTAGAGTCCGCGCACTTAACCACTACTCCAAACTGAATAATTGAAAATCCAGAAGCAGAACAAAAGCAGCAGACAGCTCTCTGCTCAGAAACAGCAACCAACCTGCTCAGTCTCCATAAGTACAGAATTTCCTGTTACTTATCTGTTCCTCTTACATGACTATCTGAAAGAGAATATGTGGCTTTGAGTTCTCAAGGATTATGGTGCCTGCCTAGCGTGCAAGCAATCTGTTCCTATCTCTTTAGATGGCAGCGGAAAATACTACTGTTCATGTCTTGCACAGATTAATAACTACAGACTGAACCTTATCCCCTGCTCTTTCTTAGTCTCTCTGCAACTCTCAGCCAGTAAGTTCTTTTTGCTTTTGTCCTAGATCCAACCACTAGCAGCCTCCAGTAGGGACTACTTCTTCCCCACAGCAAATACTGCTCATTACAACTGTTAGCTGCAACTGGAAAGCTCTCAACAGTGATTCACCACATCAGTCCCCACATTTAAAATGAATATCCTTCTCAGACACCAGGTCATTTTTCTGGGAGCTGCTAAGCACAAGAAACATGCTATACATTTTTTTAAAATCCAAACACGGAACCTACAATTAGCCAAAGGGGAAGGTAATCGAGAGGGTTTTTTTAAAAATTTAGGCCAAGAAACTTTCTCTTCAAGATGGAAACAACTAGAATGAGGTTATGGGGAAGTGCAGAGCAAGTCTATGCCAGCTTTCAATGCAATTGCAGAAAGAATTTCTTCAAGATGATCTAATTTAGAGCATTTTATTTAGAATTACAGCCTGCCCCATTTCAAAGGTTTCAGAAAGGAAACAGAAGCAGAACCAAAGACAGAAACCACCAGTAGAATGGAATCCACTTTCACGAAGAGTCACTGACATTTATACGTTAACTGGTGGTTATTATGCCCTAGAAGCTGCCTTATACTATCAGATTCTTGGGCTTATCTAGCCTGGTGTTCTCTGCTATGGCTGGCTGGAGAACTCTCTCTCTCTCAGCTATAGCTGTGCCTCTACAGCATCCTAGCAACCTGCTTCACTGTGTTGTCTTGAGGGAGAGCACCAAGAAATCACCAAGATTAAAGTCCTGTGCAGAATATATGCTGCAGCATTGGACATCTTGTCAATTTTCTCACCCCCTGAAAATCTTGAAGCAAAGCTGTTTTGAAACTTCCTATAAGGAAGCGGGAGGAAGAGCTTTCAGTTCTTGTTTTGCAAGCACTTATTTCATTACGCACCATGAATGCATAATGATTCTGCTCAGAAAGGACATAAACGATCGGAATAGTTTGCCCTTTGGTTTAATTCAGTGATGCTTCTTCAGTGGCTCGGGAACCACATGTGGCTCTTCAGGGCACTGTTCCCCGATGTGTCACCTGCCCTATGTTTCAGGAAAGTGGGGAAGGTCCTTGCTGGGTGGTGTTTATGGTTGGCATGTGGAACCCACCTTGAAACAGTCACTAGCAGAGGAATGGGTAAACTGTGGGCCTCCTTGCAGGGAAAGCCTTATGCCAGGGATGGAAGTAAAGACAGCTCTTTCGGTAGATGGTAACTGAGAATGTGGCTCTCCCTGAGCTGTGGAGTGAGTAGCACTAGTTTAGTTTGAAGAATGAGAGCATATATATCTTACAAATATTTCTCCATACAATTCAAAATTATGTTTTAGAGAAGTGACAAGGGTCATTTTAAAACTATTAAGAATTGTAAACACAAAGCCTTGAGAAACTGATGCAGGAAGGGGAACAGCAGGAGAAAAAGAAACGACTCATGGTGCCCCCATACATGAGGCGTTCCAGGCAACAGACAAGCTGAGGTGGTTTGCCATTGCCCTCCCCTGCATAGCAACAACCCCCATCTTCCTTGGCGGTCTTCCATCCAAGTACAAACCAGGGCCGACCCTGCTTAGCTTCTACGTTGGGATCAGTTCAAGCTAAGCTAGGCTGTTCAGGCTGCTTGAGGAACGTAGAGTTGATCATAAATGGGAGAGCATCGTGCAGCTGGTGTCATGGCAAGGAGACATGAACCTGTTGGACAGATACCTGTCTTGGGATTATTCATGACACTGAAGGATTTCCAGGGGAGAAAACAGGAGACAGTTCTAGTTGGAGGGCATCAGTGCTCTGAAGTGGAGAGCGCTGTAAGGTTGCCTGCTCAGAGGTGCCTGATTGGGTCCCTACCAAATTTTAATCAACATATGCTCTGTAAAGTGTGTCAAATGCTGTATTCCTAAGGAAATAAAGCATGTTTTCAATTGGCAAGAAACAGAGATACTCTGCATACCTTTATGTTAATATCTGCCTTGCGAACCTCGTATGAAGTGGCTTAGC